TGTTTCTTGTGAATTTGGTCTTAAATTTTTATTTCAAATGGCATTAAAAAGTCTTTAAAAAGTCTTGAATTTAACTTGTCTTATGCTGTAGGAACCCTGTAAAAAGACTTAGCCAAAAGATAATGAAAAACATGTAAATCCAACTTAAAAGATGTGCCCTATGGCAGGCCTTTTCCTGTGTACTATTTCACAGAAAAATCCTATTGCTGAAATTCATTTTTAAACTCTAGAGTGAAATTGCTATCTATATTATCACCTCTCCATCTTTCTATTATCACATGTGCAGGTTCCCCTGGAGCCGGATATAGATGATCACCTCTTCCCCTCGGTTGACACCTGGGATCGATTCGACCCCTATAACCATTTTGAGCGATATGGCGAGCCAGTAGTTACTGAGGAGGGAATAGAGCGGCAGGAGAAACCCTGGTGGTGGAGCTACTTCTCCCAGTCTGGCATCTCATCTCCAAACTGGCTGCTGAAAAATGTATAGAATGATTTTGGAAAAGCGGACGTTCACATGCATTCATGTAGCAGTGGCTCTGACACTGACTTTCAAACCTTTCATCCGAGCATTTTGAAAAATATTTTAAGATTTTGGGGCCAATATTATTCTGCTCTCTGGATTTAACTCAGTTTGAACAATAAATAAATAAATGAATAAATAAATAAATAAAAGTAGGGATGGCACAGTATTCATCACAAGTAGAAACGTGCACTTAAAATAAATCAATTTCTAATGATCTACTGTGTAAAATATTCCAGTTTTAAAATTTGAGTTTGATGTGTTGTTTTTGATGTCATACATTAAATACAAAATCTTCCCGTTTTTATTTTTTATTTTTATCTTTTGTAAGCCAAAAGGAAACAGTGGAGCATTCAGTCCGGTCAATATCAAGCACCTGCACTAAATTAAAGCTTTCCATAGAAGGGTTTGTACCATCACTGTGTACACAGTTAAATGGCTTGCTTTGATTCTTGCTTCAGTGTGAAATAAATATGAATATGAAAAAAAATTGGGTTACATTTTCTTTATCCGGTATTTTTTATTTAATTTTTTTACCTTAAGATTCTTTAAATGCCTCCCTTTGTCCAGCAGAGGCTACCACAGAATAAGGCATACCAACTGTTGAAATTTACTATTTTACAAAAAATAAAATGTTAACATTCTATCATGGAAAAAGCTAATTGTTTAAAATGTAAGGTTAAAGATATGTCCCTAAAGATAAGTCCCCAAACTGCAGCTTTATCCTTGAAAGCTCACTTGATATGACTCCATATTTTGTTATAAAGCATCAAAGTAAGATAAGAGAACTAAATAAAGAATTATAAATATATCTTTGTCAGGATTTGGAGTTGGTTTGGACGACCCAAATGCAGAGGCCAGTAGGCAGAGGTGAATTTAATTGGGTTTATTAAGGTTCACAGGAACTGAGGCGGGAATCAAAATCCAACAGAAAATAACAAACGCACCAGAACCAAGGAGACATCAGGGGTAAACCAAAACTAGGAGCCAGGGAGAGACGAGGAAAGCAGACAGACGTTAGACGAGGATCCAGCAAACAGGAACTGAAGGCTTTTAAAGGGGACAGAGACAAAGAGAGGGCTAACGAGGGTGAGGGCAGAACAGAAAACAGAGCAAGGGAAAGGACACAAGAGGGCAGCAGAGGACAACAAATGGAAAACCAAGAAAAACAGGAACTAACAAACCAAGACTCTGACAGTACCCCCCACTTAAGGGCGGATCCCAGACGCCCTAAAATGTCCAGAAACAAAAAACAACCCACCCAGGGTGGGCGGAGGGGGAACCAGGAAGGAAGGCACAAAAACAAAACAGAGTCCGAAAACAAAAAACAACCCACCCAGGGTGGGCGAGGGCAAGGAAAAGTCTCTGGAGGCAGACGAGGAAGAGTCTCTGGAGGCCGGCCGTGGGGCGAAAGGCGTGGCAGACGCTCTGGAGGCCGGCCGCGGGGCCGGAGGCAAGGGCAGAGGCTCTGGAGGCCAGCCACGGGTCCGGAGGCGAGGCAGATGCTCTGGAGACCGGCCGCGGGTCCGGAGGCGAGGCAGATGCTCTGGAGGCCGGCCGCGGGTCCGGAGGCGAGGCAGATGCTCTGAAGGCCGGCCGTGGGTCAGGCGACGAAGGAGGGCCTCTGGAGGAGGCTGGCGACGAAGGAGGGCCACTGGAGGACGACGTCTCCATTGCTGCAGGAACCTCAGAGGAGGACGACATCTCCGTTGCTGCAGGAACCTCGGAGGAGGACG